TCGCCATTTGGATTGGAAGAGCTTGGAAGGAATGTGCCTTCTTGAGCAATGGAAGTGTGGTAGACTCCAAGTGAAAGATTTGAATTGGGAAATGTCAAATCTGCGGAGAAATATGGTGAAAATGCCCCTGGCTCGATGGTTGCTCTAAATAGTTGAGATATCCTCAGGCCAACTTGAGCTGCTTGGGAAACCATGGGAGGCAGGGCTGCTGGAGCAGGTTGCTCAGCGTGTGATGCTCGCGAATGCGAGGCTTGAGCTCGGCTTGGCAACGCGTAGGGCTTGCGTTAGGCATAGAGTGACATGGCTCAGGCCGTGGTGGTGGAGTCATGGACCTCGCCATGGGTGATTGTCGTGGTTGCCATGGTGGAGCCTTGTGGTGGTGGTGCCGCTCCTCCTAAGATCACATTTAGTCTTGTGGATCGCCGCGGTTCCATTTCTTGAATATTGGAATTTTCACTTGTGGAATTTTCTAAATTTCTAGCCATTGTATTTCTCTTTCACGTTTTATCAAATAATCTTTACAAATAAAAATTTCTAATAATAAGAACGTACGAAAACTACAAGTGGACTAGTAAATAGAGAAAATAGAGAAAAAACCTTCTTGTGTGAGTCTTCTACGAGTGTGAATCTCAACTCTCAATGAAAGCACCAATTTGTGGATGCAAATTTTCGTATTCTTCTTCTTGGACAAAATTGCACCTACAAAACAATTAACATTAGGTTAAAGCCAAGAGCCTCACGCGCCCATGATGAATTGGGGGGGCTTTGGCCGAATAACCTTTGATGCCAAAGTTAGAATTTAGAGAGAAAAGTATTTGGAGAGTTTTTGGGAGTTTTGCAAGAGTGTGGACTTAGCTTTTTAGAAGAAATAGGGTCTTATATATAGGGAATGAGGTGGCCGGCCCTTAGAGGATTTTGTGTGAAAATGGTGATTAATTTGGTGATTAATGGATTAATTAGGAATTAATCCATTAATTAGCCTAATTAATCTAATTTGTATGTAGGGTTTTGAAGGTTATGGAATGAGGATGGATGAGACAAATTTGAACTTGTTACCTATTTTGGGTACTCTTGATTTGGTTGATGGATGATTCTCCACCGCTCGCGTGTAGGAGACCCGGTATGACTCGAGGGTAAATTTATCATTTTCATCCAAAAATCCATGTGTTACCTTGTGATTATTTTTGGCTCCACACTTGTATCTACAAAAGAAAAAAAAACATAAAACATCTTCGACCATGTCCCATGGAATTTTTTACCAAAACAAACATGTCCCATGGAATCTGTGAATGAATAACCAGGCGACATTAAACCAAATTTTGTTCTTAGCAGGTCCGACTTAATTCAAAAATAAATTATTCTAATTATGTACAACGAGAACTTATTAGTCACATACTGAAATTTAAAGGAGGCCCTACATATGTGATGTAGCTATAATAATTTGTAAATTAAGTAAATTAAAATATTAATAGAGTAAAAAAGTTAAGAAAAACAAACAATAATACATGAAAACTGTTATTAGCACTCTGGAAATCTCATTGTACACTCCTTACAAGTGTATTTATTTTCTAATTTCTAATTATAGAAAATTCAAAATGCAAAATGAGATTGTTAAGGTGTCAATAACAATTTTTTAATACTTTTTTAAATTTCACATTGTCATTTCACGTTGCATTAATATACGTTGAATATATATAAGATATTATTTGGCACATCTCCGTACTTGTTTTTTAGGCAAAATGGGACTTGATGAACAAATGGTCCGTGTCTTCAACATCATTGTGACAGAAAGCACAAAAAGGTTGCGAAGCGACTCCATAGGGTTATGCAGCCGGAACTTACTGTACTTACACTCGGACAACGAATGCTACGAAGAAGGCAGCGAATGTCATCCCAGTTCTGCACTCAACGCAGTGAACAGACAGGACGGTAACTGCATTCATCCTTCGGAGGCAGATTGTCTGCCCTTCTTTTACCATCCCCTTCTCATCGCTTCCTATTTGTACAATCACGATTAAGCCGTATCAACATGTCTTATTATCTTTACAAAAAAATCAATATAAAATGTTAACGTTGCTTAACCGTGACCTCATAATATAGGAGATGATGAAAAAGATATGGTAATAGGAGGGCAGACAATCTGCCTCCTTCATCCTTCTCTGATAAATGGTGTGGCTGTTAATTCTAAGATACTACTATTACACATTCATATATATTTCTCACACACTTTTATTAACTTTTAACTCTTTCAACAAGAGTAAGTGGGAGATGAAAATTAGTTCGTAAATAGCGCTTTCTTATTCTATTATTTCTGAATTAAGGCGGTGCCCGGTGGGTTTTTGACACAAGTTTCATGACATTTGAAGTCAAAACTCAATTTGACTACCCACGAATAATTTATCCACCCACAAATAATTTATCCGAGACCACTGGAAACCTTACACGTGCCAGAAAAATCATTGTTTTAGGTGCCGCCCTGGAAAGTAAAGCTCTCCAATAAACTAATATAAAAGAAGGATAATATTTTAAAACAATTTTGTGGAGGCAGTGGTCTGGACATTAAAATAATATAAAAAACGCAATGTTAGTGAGATTAAAATTACAAATTAAATTATGTGTCATAAATAGAAACTAACATGTTTATCAACGTTTAATTAATAAAATAATAATCAATATTCATGTCTTTTAATTTCTAAAATTTAATCTCTAAATTTAATTTTCTTAACATTACTCATAAAAAAAACATATTACATTTGACACGTGGAAGAGTGTCCGTGCTCTTTCCCTCTTTTGTTGCTGCTTTGCTGCGGTTGTGTTGGCCTATGTTTTTTGATAATTTTATTGGCAGTGCTATCCACGTATATATTTCATTTTTTAGGCATATATCTACATATTTATTTTCACTTTTTATTTATTTTTTAATTTTTACTTGTGTTGAATTAAAAATAATAATTAATAAAAATACGTAAAAAGCAAACGGTGTGAATAGCACACTTTTTTGTGACTCCAATTCTTTACTGCCTGCTTGTAGTCTTTTTCACTTCAATATATTTTATTTTTAAAAAAAAGTGACATGGTCGTTGGAAATAACTTGAACCAAACTTGATTATGTAGTTATCGTTTTAATATTTCCCTATTTTCCACAATTCAACAAGTTGAGGTTGCCATCCGTCCATATCCGTCACCGACCTCTTTCATAATTTTGATGGTCCTGAATTCCCTATATACTTCGCGATACTGCGAGGCCAACAAAAAAATAACCGACTGTGACTATTTATGTTCTAATAATATAAAATGTATGGATTTTGACAAGTAAATTTTCACTAATACTTTTAAGTGTAAATGGTAAACAGCTTTTGTGAATAAGTTATTTTTTATCGCTCATTATTTCACAAGTTCAAACTCTTGTTAAATTTTTTAAGGGAGACTTTAGATGCGGTTCTTGGTTATGAATATTCTTTTATTGAAACCTTGTTGGGTTTTAATTTTTGATTGAGGTCACTGAAATTAATGTGATAATTTATTTTTATGTACGTTACTATATTTTTTAAATTAAAAATTAGAAATTTTAGTTGTTTATATAAATGAGATTTTAAATAAAAAAACCATAATTTGTGGGATTAAAAATATTAAAATATAAATATACTATTGTGTGTTTGTGTGTGTATATATATATATATATATATACATGCGTACATTCATCAAAATTAACCAAAAAATTTATTGTATCAAAACATGGGTACATTCTTCAAAATCACAAAAAAATAAATAAATATTAGGCTTAATAACATTAATAAATTTCTTCGATTAAACTTGACATGGACACATTTTAAAATCAAAGAAAAAAGAATGTACCCATATAAGTTTTAAAATGGATTAGAAAAAAATTGAATAGATTTTATATAAAAAAATGGTACATTTTACATATAACAAATTGGTATATTTAAGAAGGAGTACATTTTAAGATTACAAAGTTTTACATGAAGGGGTACATATAATTAGCATGGGTACATTTAGCAAAATAAAAAGTACAAATAAAAAAAATATATGGGTACAAATACAAATAAACTTTAAAAAATATGGGCACAAAAAGAAATTAATATATGGGTACAAATTAAAACTGAAAAGAAAATTGGTACAAATTAAAAAAGAATTACAAATTAAAATGGGTACAAACTAAAACTAAAAAGATATGATAAAAAATTTAGTCATAAATATAAATATACTAATTGTAACATTTTTAATATTAAATGAATATATTTAGAAATAAAAAAATATTTTATTATTGAAATAATTAATGATGTTATTAATACCCAAGGACCTTGATCAAATAAATAGGATTTTAATCAATGAAGTAGCAAAATGAAGGATAAGAATCTAATTTCTCCATTTTTTAATTTAATTTAAAATAGTAAACATGATGCGTAAGATTAAGAAGTCGTTCCTCACCAACGATTTTGATATATGGTAATTGAAGAAGACGTTCTATACGTTCACATATAACACTTGAAAACATTCTAAATTCACATTTGAGCAAAAACGCAAACTTTATTAAGCAATAAGCAACATCGTTCAGCTCACAAAGAATGAGCTCAAATTCAGATGCATCAAAACAACTTAACGATAACTTAGCAGCGCCATTTGCTTCAGTACCAGTACTTTTGAGTATTAGTTACATTAAAGCTCAAATTCAACATATACAATCAATAGCATTAGTTATATTATTATTCGTGAATTAATAACATTAAATACATCACCGTAGAACTCATAATTTCTCAGCTTCGACAAACAAAACCTAGAAACAATTTAATTAATAGATTTTTTAGTACTACAAAGTGGATTGCGTATAAGGGGTGTAAACATCCGTCCACGTCGACTCTCACATGCCCACAAAACCGCTTATGTTGGTCCCACATTCGTATAAATAAACTACCAAATGCCTTTTCAGACACACCAAAAGAAAGAAGAAAGAAGAAGATAGAGAGTATAAAACGCAGTGTTTAGAGGGGAGAGCAGAAGAGAGAAAGGGTGTGGGGGCGAGAGAGCTGATGGAATATGTCGGCCATTTTTTGGATTCATCTTCAAGATACATATCAACGTGGCGGCCGTGCCCTGACGACAGACTAGCAGCCAAGTGCGAAAACTAACGCCCTCTTTCTTTCTGTATGCCTTCTTATCTTTTGTATAAATTCCCCTCTGAAATATTATACAATCTTAACTCCTGGAATTTCAACTTCTTTTCTGATTTTTTTTTTTTTCATTTGGGTTTTCTTGTTTTGTATTTTTAGGATATATAGCTTCTGAAAAAACTACAACGACATCAGAAAATCTAAGGGTTTGGAATCTTTGGATCCATATTAGTCATATTTTAGATAGGTTAAATTCTTTGCCATGGAAGGAGATTACTGCTGCTCTTCGTCGTCTTCTTCCTCAACGTCCATGAGCATGGAGAAGCGCAAGCATCCCGATCACCACCAAGAAAAGCAGTACAGAGGAATAAGGATGAGGAAGTGGGGGAAGTGGGTGGCGGAGATTCGAGAACCCAACAAGCGCTCTCGAATTTGGCTCGGCTCCTACACGACCCCCGTTGCCGCCGCCCGAGCGTACGACACCGCCGTTTTCTATCTGCGAGGCCCTTCTGCCCGCCTCAACTTCCCGGAACTTGTTTTCCAAGACGACGGCCAGCAGCCCCACGACATGTCGGCGGCTTCGATAAGGAAGAAGGCGACGGAGGTTGGGGCTAAGGTCGACGCTGCCCAAACCGCTCTCCACTCATCGCCGACGTCTCCATCCAAAACGGCGTCGAGCCGGGGTGGCTCTCAGAAGCCCGACTTAAATGAGTACCCAGACCCAGAAAACTCCGATGAAAGTTAATAGAACAGAACAGAGCTTTAGGGATGAGGCCGACCGATCACCAACTGTTCATAATATTTATCTTAATTTCTAGCTCTTTTGTCTTCTTCTTTTTAGATGTTTTTTTTTAATTTTTTTTTATGGCGTTTGGGTTTTGATATTTATATATCTTAGTTGATATGAATAGGTAATTAGGTGACTGTGTGTGCAATAAAGTGAAAATACAGAGGAGGTATTATTGGGTCCGATCAGGAAATGGAATCAAAAGAATTCCGTTTGATTGGTAATTTGTTATAGTTTCTCAATTGTAACAACAACAAACCAGCTGAAAGGCTATCAATATTGTTTCCTTTCTTGAAGTTCTAGTCTTTGATTTTTATGGTTCTTGCAACGGAAAACGGAAAGCGGAGTTGCAGTATTACTTAAGTGATATTACTGTTTCACTTCTACGTAACAATATTTAATTGTGGAATCGAATCGATTAGTATATGCTTTAATTCTTTGGTTGCTAATCTTAAAAGATTTTTGTTAGGTATGCATATGGTGGTTAGGCCTAGAATGGTCATCGCTTTGCACGTTGCTTGCTCTGGGGCAGTAGGGTTTTAAGTTTTTTAGCGTAACTATCATGCCCATAAAATCAATGTATTAATTTTATATACTGCATGGCAGTGTAACGAAATAGAGGTTAAATTAACAAAATTTGTTAAGTTTTGTTTTTAACTTATTTCATGCGACCGCGTTTCAGTACTACCGTACCACACTCAATAACTTTTTCGAAGTTTGGAGTTGCCAAACAAAGAGAAGAAGATAAGGAGATAAGGGAGAGTTGGGGCACCAAGGACGGGTAAGTGATGACGTGCTTGTGGTGTGAAGTATGATTGAAGGAGAAATCGAAGATGGTCCTTCAATCAGAGAGGTTGTCACTGTCATTAGACTCAATATACTCCATACTATAATGGAAGCTTACGACATGTTTTGTTTAATGGAGGTTGATATGTTATGATGGACGATGGACGATGGACGGTGGACGGTGGACGGTGATTCCTTTTCTCTTCTTAATTTGTTTGCCAAACTCTGCGGCTGCTCCTAACTGTCTTTTGTAATCGAATTTTGACTTTTCTCTTTGTTTTTCATTTTCTTATTAGAATTAAATTTAATCTATACGGTGTTTATGGATCTTGCAGGGCCAATAATCCATCGTCTTAATTGTTAATGCACCACCACTACAAATCTGCTTAAACTGTCTTTTAGTCAATTGATTGAGTTGTGCTTAGTATAATCTGATGATAAACTTTATTGGGGAATCAAAGTTCAAAGTTCACCAATTTTATTAATCACAGATGCTTTTGGGTAATTATGTATCGGCGGTATCATGTCTTAGTCAAAAGATACGACTGAAACAAATACTATCATAAGTTCTTAAGTAATTTAGAACATGAAAAATTAGTTAGTGTTTTTGTGCTTCAAGTACCATAATGAACTGTTAGGAGATGCTCGTGTTATGCTTCCAAGTGTTATAATCAGAAATGCATATACAAAAAGAACTCGAAGATAATATAATTTGTCAGATATCTGATATGAATTAATGATAATTCAACGGTAAAGTGGTTACTCTTTATATGTGTGTGTATTATATGTTTTGAACAACCAATCAAGGATTCAAGATGAGCTGGTAAACCTATGAAGAAATGAATGGCAGGATCTTCTACAACTTCTGCTTAAACCTGATCAAATATACTATGTCTGCCCATGTCTTTTATAAAATGTTATCCCTCTTCTTCATTAGAAATGCGTATCCATATAACTTGACTTAATAGAAAAGGAAGCATTTCAGTGGCGTGTGTGGGCAGTGGATAGACTCTCCTTTACAGATAACATGCATTTTTTTAATCAATAAAAACATTAATTAATTTCTAAAATAAAAACACACTTTAGTTTGCTTCTCACTCAAAACAACATTTTGTTACAAAAGCGAGAGCAACTTGTGTGTGCTAGAATACTATATGGTTGTGAACTTGTTTTATATAAGTTCTCATTACAAATAGTAGAAATACAACGTTAGTATCTGAATTTTCTACTTTTTAATCGAAGACATGAAGAAAATTTTGGTCAAGTTTCTCGTACCATTGTGTCGTTTTACTGTAGCCAGGTTGTCACCTTTATTCACAAGTGAAAAAAACTAGACCTAATTGTTTAAGAAAATGCTAGACCTAATTCATGAATCCCAAAGATATGGAGAGAATATTTTGTGGATAGAGTACCCCAGCTATGGGGCAAAACCAGGTAGTGCTTCCCCACCAACAAAATGTAAGAGGCATATACTATTCAATGGTCTACAAACGAACAGACATCTCCAAAGCTCAAACGAAATATCAAATATCGATCACAGCCTCATGTCCCAGGTTGATATGTTTAGAAGTGGTTCTATAATTGTTAAAATCTCTTTGAGATAATTATAAGCGTTTCAAACAATATTTAAAAGTGTTTACAGGCAACAAAAGCACTTAGACTTCAGCAAAAACTTATGTTAGTTGCTTCTTCAACAAACACTTTCAAGAAAAAGAGATTATATAATACATCTTGAGATGGATAAGAGTGAGATAAGTGTACTAACTACTAAATGTATTAAAGAAAAGCTGCAATTTGCAATTGTTTATATAAAATGTTGCACTCAGATAGCCTCATCCTCATCTACAATTATACAAGGCATTATTTTAGCTTTGAATCCTCTTTCTAGTTGACAGAACAATATAAAAAAATAGAGGGATGTAATTTCTAACACATATTTTCTTCTTTTTCTTCACACTTATATTTATTTTGGCCTTTAGATTGAATACTAAGAGAAAGTAAATAAGAACGTGCAAAAGAAGAAAAATGGTGTTCGGAAGTTATATCTCAAAAACTAATTTAATTATCCCAATAATGCAAGCTAGTGGTAGCGGATGTATAGCAGTTGAGCAAAACTAAAATACCCCAAGAGAGGGATAGATACTAAATGCCAAAGCATCAACGCTGGAACTCAAAAGAATCAGCATATATATATGGTCAGTTACCATCAACCTCTCCTTAGCATTCAACGCAATCAAGATATACAAACCGACAAGTATAAGGACACACCATCTGTTTAGGACTTATGCAGTATTTGCATTTTGAAGAAAGCATACTTCATACAGGTTGCTTTCACCCAATGAGCGGTTAAAAATTCTAAACTTGCAGTTGAAAATCTTAAATAGCAGTGAAAAAGTTATAAGCTGATCACTAACGGCCATATATACCAGAATCAGAATCATTTATATATTTATTTATTTGAGATAAAATCTAAACTGTTGTTTGCCACTCAAACGTGTCTGGATAGTGGATAGTGGATAGTGGATCAAAGAATACTAACTAGGACAAGACAGATCACCAAGCTTGATGCTTTGTTGTATGTGTAGAACAAAACAAACTGGCATCTTGTCAAGCCTAGCTGACAAGTACTAATTTGAATTTACAAACAATTTTGACATCTTTAAATCACGAAAATGGTGCTTTGGAGCAGTGAAGGAGTAAAAAATTTATAACATGGTTCACGAACAAGAAACTTCTGAAAACTAAACATACTTTCATTTGTTGTTGGTAATGACATGTTCGCATTTTTTAAAAACGTCGTGTACAACATCATTATTAATAGAAAATATATATATTTTTCATTGTGTATAACTAAGTTAGCATTCAACAATTAATTTTTCATTGGATTTGGATTCTTCACAATACTGATCACTAAAAAAGCTCTCCTATTTTGGAAAGGTTGTAGTTTTGGTATATATGTTTCAATTATAAAAAAATATTAATAAAGGGTCTCTCTATTTTGTTTACCTTAGCTATTATAGGGTCATATAAAAGGGTAGTTGTTGTAGGCTATTTTATCTGACAAGGGGAAGGGGGCCAGCGACAAAGAGAGAAAAGAGAGAGATGTGTTTGTAGAATTGTATGAAGGAATGTGTGTGTTATTCCCCCTTACATAGTGTCTTTATTTATAGTAATAAGAGGGAGAAGAATTCTTTCATCCCCAAGGAATACAAGTCCATATAGGAAAGAATAACTAGAATCAAATCTAATCTAGGATTTACACAATCACACTTAAACTAGGAAAATTTATAACACTCCTCCTTGAGTGTATAAATACTCAAGGTAGATTCGGCATCATGTAGGAGTTGAGGAAGTTGACTCATCGACACTGATTCTGGGATCAAACTATTCTTAATAAGGTAAGAACTTGCATAAAGAGGTAGTCTCACAAAAAACCCTATAGCTATGGCAAAACCCCGAGTAGGGACAAAATCCATAGTCTAAGGAAAAATGTGTGAGTAATGCAAAGTTAAAAGAAACGTCTACGAGACGTCATCAGGGATATGATCAACCCAAGGTGGGTGCCTCGTTAAAACCTAGTTAGGTAGCAAAATCCTAATGGGTAAATGCTCATAATCGTAGGGAAAAAAGTACATTAAGAAAGCAAGTATATTTCAAGATACTCCACTTGAGTTTGACATAATTCCAAAGAGAACTAGAAATGTTACAACTCAAAAAGTTTACGCATACCAATTCCTTGAACAAGCTTCTGAAACGTCGCCTTCGGTAATGATTTGGTGAAGAGGTCAACCAGATTGTCTTGTGAACAAATTTGTGTGACTTCAATCTTTTGATGCTCTTGTTGTTGATGTGAGAAGAAGAACTTCGGCGCAATGTGCTTGGTGTTGTCTCTTTTGATGTAACCCTTCTTGAGCTGCTTGATGTATGTTGCGTTATCTTCATAGATCGTCCTCGGGACATTAACGACGAGGTAAAGATCGCATGAGCTTTGAATATGGCCCACAACTACTCTCAACCAAAAGCATTCTTGAGTTGCTTCATGTAAGCCGAGAATTTCAGCATGGTTAGACGAAGTGGCAACTAAGGTTTGTTTAGTTGACCTCCAAGAGGTTGCGGTGCCTCCAACGGTAAAGACATAACCCGTTTGAGAACGCGCCTTGTGCAGATTAGATAAGTATCCTGCGTCGGCATAACCAATAAGGCGAGAATTAACTCAAGAAGCAAATGGTGCGACATCACTCGAGGATCCATAGGGATAGAACAAGCCCAGATCCATAATACCCTTAAGGTAACAGAATATGTCTTTTACGCCAGTCCAATGTCTGCGTGTTGGTGCATTACTATATGTCGCAAAAAAAATTAACAGCGAAATATATGTCAGGTCTAGTGCATTGAGCTAAGTACAATAAAGCGCCTATCGTACTTAGATAAAGAGTTTCATGCTTGAAAATCTCTTCATCATCCTTCTTCGAACGGAAGGGATCTCGTTTTGCATCTAGCGATCGAACGA